TGGAAGAAGCGAGGAACGCATCAGGATGGAGAAAGTTCTGCTCTGCACCATCGCTGCATCTGGTGAGTGGATCTGGTGTTGGCGGTCTAATCTCACCTGGTTTGTTTCTTTAATGATTCCTTCTAAACAAACCTAAATAATCTCCTTTAATCTGTAAATCTTACTTATGCCTAGTGGAGTTTTTGCTTCACTAACAGCAGATTTTACAGAAGCTGAATAAAGAGCATTTTAGACATTTCTGCTCAGGTTCTGATCCGCGTGTCCTCCCGTGTCCCTGCAGCTCTGTGTGCCGCCTCCTCCATCAGATACCGTCAGTACCATTTTATTTATGACCCGAAGAACTGGACCGAGGCTCAGACCTACTGCAGACAGACGTACACGGACCTGGTGACGGTGGACAGCTACAGCACGGTGACCACGCTCAACAGCCTGGCTGATGTGACCCAAATGGGCTCCACCAAACACGTAAACTCGCTTTAGTCGTCTCTCTTCTCTGGAAGTTTTACTTTTGAGAGTAAAAAGTCCAACTCTGGTGTTCCACAGGCCTGGATCGGTTTGTACTTTGACGTGATCGACTGGAAGTGGTCTCTGTCAGACGAAGATTTCTACAAAAATAACGAGGCGACGTATACGAACTGGTACCCAGGACAACCAAACGGCATCTGGTACACAGAACAGTGTGTATATATGAACTTGGCGTACGCACTGTGGAGTGATAATTACTGCAATACTCTCTTTCACTCAGTCTGCTCCAACGTCAGCGGTGAGAAATGGAATCAAGTCAGATTTAATAAAGTTGATTCTACTCTGTTTCTGTGTCGCAGGATAGGTTAAACGATTTAAAGGTGTGGTTCACTGAAGACCCGTTTTTAATGATTATTTCTGATTAAAATCTGAGTTTTTCTGTTGTCCATTAAAGCTGCTATAGCAAATCCACAGAACAAGCTAGGTTTTGAACGCAAACGTTGTTGCGGAACACTCACCCCTCCCCTCGGGTCTGCCGGAACAGGAAGCCTGCGATGCCGGAGGAGACGAGGGAGCGCTGGACATCTGTTGCCATTTTCTAGGTCCAAATGTCTTTGGTTTTCCGTCACTTCAGACGGTGATTTATTTTTTAGGACTCTGGTGGTTAGTCCTAAAGCTGAAGTGGAAGCAGCCGGCTGGTTCTCCTCTGATATTATTGAGCGGAGAACTTTGCACACCACTGGTGTTCTGTTGCTAAATGTGTGTGTGTGTGTGTGTGTGTGTGTGTGTGTGTGTGTGTGTGTGTGTGTGTGTGTGTGTGTGTGTGTGTGTGTGTGTGTGTGTGTGTGTGTGTGTGTGTGTGTGTGTGTGTAATGAGTGGAGGACCCGGGGAAGGGCTGTGGTTCGGTGAGACGACAACCGCGTGGTCCAATGGTTGCTTTTGGTTCGAAATGTGTTGTTGGCGGGGTTTTTAGATGTGGGGTTAGCATACGTATTTATTTATTTTGGATGCTTTTAAAGCCCAATATGCTACACTACATTTGACCAATGAGATGTGGTTTTCTATATAAATATGGAAATCCAACCTGATTGATCTTTGAATGTTTCACCAGAAGATTTAGGATTATTTGTTTATTCAGGGATCGTAACACTTCGTATCAATTCAGACAGTCACGTTTATAAAAGTAAGAAATTTATTTTCTAAACCATTAAAAACACGACAGCCAGGAAAAGCTTGATGTGATGGACGAATCTGAGCGGATGGAAGGTGAGGGGTGATGATGTGTGAATGTGACGTTTTCTGAACCCTCGTATCTGGAGAAACTGACTTCTGAGTGGGAGTGAATTTGGTCTGCTATGAACTATAAGCGATGGTTTATAAAACGTACCCTCTCGAAGACCCCCGTGGTAGATCCGGAATGTGTTGAAGTCCGGGGACCCCAAAGGCACCGAAGTCCGTGGAAGAAACCGCACTAGACCGGTCTCGAGATGTCTCCAGGTCACGACAGTTGCTTTTTGTGTCTATGGAGGACTCTTGAGGAGTCTGAGTTGGTTCAGCTTTATTCTAAGGAACCATTTGTGGTCAGCTGTAGCGTGCAACAGGTTTTGACAGCTTGTCAAAAGATGCGATGGGAGAAGAGGCTTCCTCCGATGGCCAGTCAAGAGTTAGGCTCAACTGAATCCCTCAGAGAGTGATGCTGTTTAAATAACGGCCATATTTTGGTTTTACTGATAAATCAGAACCCTGTAAAGGGGTTTTGCAAACAAACCCAGATACACACCTCCCTCCCACCTGCTTAGACTCTATCAAAACCTGGATGGTGGGAGTTTTCTTCAGCTGAATGAAGATAAGACTGAGATCCTCATCTGTGCTCCAGACAAGCTGGTTCCCAAAGTCAGAGACTCTCTTGGTCAGCTTGCTTCCCATACCAAACCTTCTGTCAGGAATCTTGGCGTGACCTTTGACCCAGCTCTCACCCTGGATTCTCATGTCAGTTCTCTTGTTCGCTCTTCCTTCTTCCATCTCAGGAACGTTGCTAAGCTGAGTCCCATTCTGTCCCGCTCTGAACTTGAGACAGTTCTCCACACCTTCATCTCCTCACGCTTAGACTACTGTAACTCTCTTTTCACGTGTCTGAGCAGAACCTCCCTGAACCGTCTACAGGTGGTTCAGAACGCCTGTGCTCGGCTTCTGACCAAGTCCTCCAAACACACCCACATCACCCCGCTTCTCCTCCAGCTTCACTGGCTGCCAGTCAACTTCAGGGTTCATTTCAAGATCCTGGTTCTGGTCTATAGGGCCTTACATGGACAAGCACCATCTTACATTGGTGATCTTCTTAGTCCCTACACCCCCAGCAGGTCCCTGAGGTCCAGTGACCAAAGCCTACTGGTTGTGCAGCACCAGGCTAAAGGTCAAAGGTGACAGATCATCTGCTGCTGTGGCCCCCAGACTCTGGACCTCTCTCCCCCTGAGCCTGAGATCAGTGGACTCAGTGGTCTCCTTTAAAAAGCAGCTGAAGACTCACTTGTTCAAGCTGGCTTTTGTATGACCTTCTTCACCTCTCTCTCTTTATTCTGCTCTCCCCACCTATTCCACCTTCCTCAGGATCCACTGATTTCCCTCTTTCCTGTTCACTCTCTCTCTTTCTTAACATTTTTTTAATCACAATTTTCTATTTTTGCTCATTTAAAATATATTTTTAAACATTTTATAAATTCTTTTTTATATTTTTACATTTTTTTGTTTTTGTGAAGCGCCTCGTGATTTTTATCTAGAGAGGCGCTATAGAAATGATATTTTCTTCTCAGATATGAAGATGCTGATTTTGTGGATAAGAAAATACCGTAATTTCCAGACTATAGAGCGCACCTCAATAGAAGCCGCACCAACAAAAAAAAGGTTTTCTACACACCCACGCCGTACTCGAATACAAGCCGCGGCGCAGCAGCCACATGCAGGTCACCGGGGCACAGCGCATGTACGGCCATAACATCAGATAATTAGACAGAAAGACGCTTCACGGAGGTTTTTCGTTGTTTTAATTCAACAAAACAGATTTTAAACACGGGTGAACGTGCCTGCAAGTTTAGAAAAGAAAACAGCACTGATAGCATTCATACTTCTGGATGGTTATAAAATAAAAACATAACTGACACGTTATTACCGGTAATTTGCATGTTTAGAAGAAAAGAACAGCGCTGACTCAGCATTAATAAGCCCTGGATGATTAGAAAATAAAACCTGCACACAAAACATGCCTGGTTAGTAAATAAAACACACTTGCCTACCAGAAGAAGTCATTCGCTCTCATCTTCCTCCTGCGCACTAAAGCCATTAAAGTCCTCTTCTCCAGTGTCGGAGTTGAACAGCCTCAGAAGAGCTTCGCCACATACCTTTTCTGTGGCGATGTCTGTGTTGCTGTCCGTGTTGCTGTCGTCATCCCCGGGTGAAGCTGGCTTGAATGAGTTCTTCCCGCTGCCGTCTCCAGCGCCGAACCATGGATTCATGCATGCCAAGCTTACGTGCGGCAGCACTGTTTCCCTCCTTTACTGCCAGATCGATGGCCTTCAACTTAATTGCGGCATCTTATGAACTCATACGTGTAGTTACCATGATGAGGGGGTATGGACTTGAAAAAAGTTCTTCATCATGCCGACTGCTTGCATGTGCTAAATTAAAATGAGCACTTTCTTCCATTTCCACTTTTGACTTCCACCTGTTTCACTTTCTGCTAAAGCGCCCCCTGCAGGTGAAGGAAAATCTTCAGTAAAGCCGCATGGTTCAAAGCGTGGGAAAAAAGTAGCGGCTTATAGTCCGGAGAATACGTTATCTCTGTGCAGTGACGTTGATTCTAACTTGCGTCATGGAGATATGGAGTGTCTTGTCCAGTCAGTGCGCTGATTAAATATATGGATCATATATTTCATTTCATCCTTATTAATCTTTCAGTGAAATAATATTCATTTCAACTTCAGTAATTTAAGCACAGATTAATCAAAACGTTCTATTTTGTCCGTTTCATTATATGATGTTACTCATATTGTTCATCCGTCTTGTTCTGTGAATAAAAGCAGTCTGAGATCAGTGGAGAGCTCGCGTGGGACCTTGGCTAAGCAACCGTATCTTTCTTGCAGATTGAAAGCACCAGTGAAGACCAGGGGCGTGTCCAGGGAGTGGCCTGGGGTAGCACATGCCACCCTTGGAATCTGATTGGCCACCCCAGGTGCCACCACTCTAATTTACCTTTAAATAGGCTTTTCATCGTCCACAAAAGGCTTGGGGGTAAAAAAAAAGCATAACCATTGGTGCCACCCATGCACCAAATTGTGCCTCACCTGGGCCACCCCATTTTAAAAGATCTGGACACGCCACTGGTTAAGACTTATGTCTCTTCAAATGGCCAGATACTGAAGAGGTCAGACTGTAGGTGGAAAACTGACCGTTTCTGGAGGCTACATAGACAAATGCACCACTTTATGAAATGTTTTCCTTTTTTTTTTAAATCTCCAAGCCATTTCTGAGCCAGTGAAAGGAAAGGTGGTGGTCAAACATAAAGCTATCTCACCTTTCCGACCCATTGCTCGCACCTTTTCTTTTATTTATTCCTAACTTAACGCACACCGATGTAACCATGTGACAACTTGGTGTGCTCCCCCCTCCCTCCACCCCCAACAATCTTACACCATCCTGAAAGTCTTCGTCCTTTGTGTGAGCAGGTGAAACAGCCAAGGCGTACCACACATCTTCCCGATTTAGGCTCATGAAACGGCGCAGGAGATTTGAAGATAAGCTGAGATCTTCCTCTGACGTTTGGGTTTGCTTTACTCAGTCTGACTTTGGTCTGTTTTCAGGGGGAAATGTGACTTTTGTCTTAAATAGTAATCTGATGAACTGGACTGATGCTCAGAGCTACTGCAGACAGCATTACACAGACCTGGCCAGCGTGAGGAACCTGTCGGAGAATGCGCAGATACGGAAGCAGATAACCGCACCAGCCTGGATCGGGCTTTACAAAAACACCTGGAAGTGGTCAAATGGGCCCTTCTTCACGTATAATTACTGGCAAGTTTTGGAACCAGACGGTGGGGACGAGAAATGTACCGCAGCCAACTTTGCCAACTCTGGTCGGTGGATGGACTTGGCGTGTGGACTGGAGAAGCCGTTCGTCTGCTACCACGGTAAGCAGCCATTCACTCACACTTCCTGTGTAAAGTCACTTTATTCGCTGAAATCACAACATTCTCCCCATTTATTCAGTTTATGAAGTTGATTAGATTTCTCAAATAAGACTTAAACATCCTTTCCATTCATTCTCTTCTGCTTATCTGGGGTCGGGTCGCGGGGGCAGCAGTCTAAGCAGGGAGGCCCAGACGTCTCTGGACCTCTCCGGGGAGGCGTTCAGGAGGAGGGGTGGGAATGGAAAACTGATTCCTGCTGAGAACCGGTTCTCACTGTTTTAATTCCTAGTACCGTTTGCCATTTTTGCAAATGATTCCCTTATCAATTCCAGTCAGCATGAAAGATGTCGCCGTGCATCTTTTTTCTGTCTACCAATCCAGTTCCTGATCAACAAGCATGCATGCTGCATAGGGCAGCAATGGCTCAAGAGGTAGAGCGGGTTGTCCCGTAATCGCATTCGGTGGGTTGACCGGTAAATGGAGAGCTTCTCCTTCCGACTCAGCTCTCTCTTCACCGTGACAGACCGGTGCAACACCGGCATCTCTGCAGACGCAGCACCAAATCGGACACGCATTCGCTAATCCAGTGAGTCTCTTTAACCCTCCCACTGTCCTAATGGGTGTGACCCCGCGAGGAAAGTTGACCATTGAGCAGGATTGATGGTCCATGTGGCAGCGGTGAGGTGGTGCTCACTCCTCACCCCTGCTACATGGACCTCGAGGGATAAAACACCAACCCTGCTCAATGGTCAACTTTCCTTGCGGGGTCACACCCATTAGGACAGCGGGAGGGTTAAAGAGCAAGTCACCCCCCAAATAAACTGTTTTTCTGATAAACTATATAAATGTGTGTCTAATCGTGCTGCAGACACGTGTCGTCAATAGTTTTGCACTTTAGTGGATTTTAGTTAAAATTTTATTTTCTGCCTAAAACTGTCAGTGTTGTGCCGTTGTCAGGTAAAAACTCTGCACTGCATTTGAATTTAAATCTGCCATCGCTATTGGCTAAGAGGTACCCTAGAACGTTAGCTGGTACCATGTGATGTCACAATGTCGTTGTGAGCCTGTGTGTGTGTGTGTGTGTGTGTGTGTGTGTGTATTTGTTAGTGGCTCCGCCCTCTCGGTCTGCTAGGCGACAGCATTTGTTGCATTTTTCAAACAGGAAGTGGGAGTGGAGTAATACTCTGATGGGGGTGACTTGCTCTTTAAGTTCCTCAGACACTTCAGTGTTGAGAAACAGCTTTCACCCACAGCTGAGCTTGGAAAACAAAACGATAATTAACCAAATAGTTCCTGGGCGTGGCCACAGCTGCAGCTCACCGCTCCCCACGGGGATGGGTCGGATGCAGAGATGCGTGTGTGGTGGCTGTTGGGACTTTGCTTTTCTGCGTGAATGACATTATAAAATGTTGGTCTTCTACGTTAGATGGATGGAAAATTCTTGTTAAGTGTCTCGGTTTTAGCACCGATTTTGTTTTATCCTTTACGTTTACGTTATCTCTCACCAGCTGCTCAGAAGTCTTCCATCAAGGGAGCGGCCATGTTTGAAATTCAGACCAGAGCAATAGATGTTGTCAGCCTTAGCCCCGCCCACTGGTTTTGACAGGATGACAGTTGAAATAAATTCAATGGAAAACAGAAACACAGACCTTTAAATAATTCTAAACAAACTCCTAGAAAAGAGAACCATGTTTTTATTTATGACTCGTTTAATTTGCTGTATGTTTAATAAATGATTCACTTATTTAGATGAAACAAATGAAAGTCTTGTGTTTTTTAATAGACCCCGTGCCGTTGTGGAGGACGGGGATAAAGCTGAAGCTGGTGAAAACCTCGGCTCTGCGTCTGGAGGACCCTGCTGTTCAGGAGGACTTACTGCAGCAGGTAAATAATACAAGTTTCATGTGATAAATAAGTTTGTATCTGGAGTTCGCTGGACTCGAGAGAGGTTTTGTGTGTGAACTGTGTCGATTCTCACCTGGTTGCTGCTGTGGGCTGACCTCTGGAGACCAGGCATGTGAAGAAAATCAGTCTGTAGTTTTATGTTTCAGCTAAAACAGAAGCTGATGAACCAAAACGTGACCGGAGACGTGGAACTGAGCTGGAAGAGGCAACCCAGCAGAGACGTCTTCTACCGAGACAAGACCAGCAAAAACTAGGAAGCAGATTTCTTGTTTTTGTTCAGATTTTCTTTTGCTCTTAAAGTTATAAAACAGTACAATTGGCCTTCAGACATGAATTATTAGATTTTCATCCAGAATTCCTGCAAACATAAACAGAAATGATGAGTTTTTTCAGAGTACAACTTTGTTTCAGCTCCAGTAGTTTGAGTAAACTGAGCTTTCACGGGCCCGAAGCTCGAAGGCTGCATCTAGACATAAAACTTGAATACATGTATAAACCAAACACATACACACGCAAATCTCTGCTGTTGTTTTATTTAGGTTCATATTTGACTCTAACTGAAAATGTATTTGAGTTTATTGTTTGAATTCTTAATTGTAAAGTGAGTCATTTTCCATCAGAAATCTTTAATCTCAAGGTTACAAAAACACTGATTTTCTTTTAAATAGTTCATATTTGTTAGATTGTTTGGTTTAGACAGTTTGTTGTCGAGCTTTAGATGTTCTATTAAATGTGAACATTTGCTATTGTTACACTATTGATCCTTTCTTTGCCTAATTAGCTTATTTATTGAAGTTATCATTGAAATACGCTGTATTCTCTTTGTTTTCTGATGTGGGATCTGGTTCAGCTGAACGGATCGTGTTTTCTGACTGACTCGCTGTATTCAAGCAAAACTTCTGGGTTTTTGCATTTAGGAAAGCATTTTTTAACTTATTTACCTGATAAACAAGAAGTAAAATCCATAAAAACATGTTTTTTCATCATTAGTGTATTAGCACAATGTGAAGTTCCTCCATCGTGTCTTGTTAAAGGCACAAGAGCACGAATTTCACTGTGAAATGTTCAGATGTCTGCCTCAGTCAGGAAAGAAGGTTACGTACACGTCTTCTCAGCCAGCTGGGGCGTTGTCACTTTTACTCCTTTCAAAATACCCAAAGAGGGACTTAGTCTTTGTTTACAATCTGTGAACCCTGTGGGGTTGGTGGTTGACGCTGCCGCACCGGCATAATTCCACACCAGCCCAGAAAAACGGATCAGCAGTTTTTAAAGTACCTAACCCAGATGTTATTTCTGGTTCCCCTGAGAAGCCTCAGCCTCCGCTTGTTTTTACTCTAGTATCGCGTAAAGCAGGAGGCTAATGTTGAGCTAACGATGCTAACGGTGAATTTGAACCACACTGGGAGCCTAAGGTTGTTCGGCTCATGAGTCGCTGAACGGAGCTCTAAAAGTTATTTTCTAATCCGCTCTGCCTTACGTCCTGAATCACACATACCAGGGTTTCCCCCAGCGGTTTATAAGCCTGGCGGCCCGCGTCATGCCCCGCCCCCCTCCCTGACCCTACCGTGTCCGCTGACACAAACGGCGCAGCGAAACTAGAGCCCTCCATCAGCTGATGCTGGTGAGAAACAGCAGCGGAACGCGTGCACCCCCCCCCCCCCCCCCCCCCCCCCCCGCACACACACACACCCTAACCGTAACCCAACTTACTCGGAATGACGCGTCTTCGCTTGTCCTCTAGAGTCTTCTGGCGCTGAGCCATAACAGCCACGAAACTAACGGAACGGTGAGTTTTTCCTTTTTGTTAAAAAAAACGGACTGCAGTACACAAAAATGACCAGAAGATGTCACTCTTACTTCATTTGCTCTTGATGCACCTGGAAAGAGGCTAAAGATCCCTAATGCTCTAAGACTGATCAGAAGTGCCACTATTAAACACTTATTGGTAAAAAAAAAAAAAAAACAATCAGAACACATTTTTATACTTTTAATGAGTGATTTTTTGTCCTCCATAAAAACTGAGCTGTGTTTGAAAACAGTTTATTGTGATGAATAACAAGGCGGGCCACCCCTTATGCCCCCCCCCCCCCCCCGAGACAATAAAACATCTGTATCATATAAACAATTAAAACACAAAATATAAAACATGTAATCAACAAAAATATAAAACAGTAAAATCAAATGTAGGATGATGTTTTCTGAGTGAAACTCAAAAGTCTGATGGTAAGTAAATGCAGCACAGGTCTTCATCCACGCTGGCCCAGGAAGGCATCAGGTGACAACGAGAGGATAATAAACATCCCAGTAAATAAAATGAAGTTTGAGTTAAGTAAACTTAGGTGAAATTAGAACATGACAGAACATGTAGCCCTAATTAGAGCTGCCTACCAGCTCCAGTGACCTGAGGGAAGCTAGCAAAAGACTTGGTTGCGGGTGTCAGCATGTTAGCCCGATCAGCCGAGTTTTATCTCTTAAATATTGTGGAGTTTTGTTGTGGATAGTGAGGTAATTTGTTGTTTTTTGTTTATTTTCATTTCCAAACAACAGCAGCTGCAGCGCTGCCAACAATAACCCCCAAACCTCCTGTACAGCGTCTCTGGACCAGCTGATCTGGGGACTATGTCTCTGGACCAGCTGATCTGGGGACAGCGTCTCTGGACCAGCTGATCTGGGGACAGTGTCTCTGGACCAGCTGATCTGGGGACAGTGTCTCTGGACCAGCTGATCTGGGGACAGCGTCTCTGGACCAGCTGATCTGGGGACAGCGTCTCTGGACCAGCTGATCTGGGGACAGTGTCTCTGGACCAGCTGATCTGGGGACAGCGTCTCTGGACCAGCTGATCTGGGGGACGGCGTCTCTGGACCAGCTGATCTGGGGACAGCGTCTCTGGACCAGCTGATCTGGGGACAGCGTCTCTGGACCAGCTGATCTGGGGACAGCGTCTCTGGACCAGCTGATCTGGGGACAGCGTCTCTGGACCAGCTGCTGTGGGGGACGGCGTCTCTGGACCAGCTGATCTGGGGACAGCGTCTCTGGACCAGCTAATCTGGGGGACGGCGTCTCTGGACCAGCTGCTCTGGGGACAGCGTCTCTGGACCAGCTGATCTGGGGACAGTGTCTCTGGACCAGCTGATCTGGGGACAGCATCTCTGGACCAGCTGATCTGGGGACAGTGTCTCTGGACCAGCCGACTCAGAGGGAGGACATGTAAAGGAGCGAAGCGTCTGAAGTCAAATGAGACATTTGGGATTTAAAAGCTGTTTGATCAGTCGGGATTCCTCCAGAGGCGTCAGAATAAACCTTCGTCTGAAATGCAAAACTTCTCAGCGACACTATTTGCGTGTTTGGGCTGAAAGTCAGAAACTGGAGAAAGGAACTGAAGGAGAATGGAGAACATGCTTCTCTGCCTCATCGGTGCATCAGGCAAGTGGATTTTTATTCATTCATCTATTTAAATGTGAAAAACTCCAGATGATGTCACTGAAACCAGAGATAAACAATCATTTGTGTTGTTGCTGCAGATCAGCTGACTCCAGGTCTGATCCGCGTGTCCTCCTGTGTCCCTGCAGCTCCAACCCTCAACAGCCCGGCTGGTGCGACCCAAACGGGCTCCACCACAGACGTAAGGAACATTTCTAGTTTTCTGAATCGTTTACATTCGTCGGTGGAAAGTTTTCAAAGGTATATTTCTCTAATAGAAAAGGTCCTGAGTGATGCGAAGTGGAACAGAGGCGCTCCAGTTATTGATCAAGAATCATTTAGTCCGATCAGAACATTCACACCGGACCTCCAGAAAGTTTCTGCATGGAGTTGACGTTTGTAGACGCCGCACATGGATTATCACAAGGTAAAGACTTGAGCCAGACAGGAAGTGAGACGTGTTTCAGCAAGGTGCATCAGGTTTATTTCAAAATAAAATCTCTGTTGGATTATTGTTGCTATTATAAATGACGGGAATGTCCGTGTGTGACCGTCTGTTGTTTTTACAGGCTTTTAAAACCTATTATGTCAGATTTCTGATCCTTTGCTGCTCTTGTGGGCGCAGATATCCGGAGACCTTTAGCACACGCCAGCCGTCCAGAAGCATCAGGTGTGAAACAGCCTTTTATTCACTAAACTGTCTTTCAATCTCTTCTCAGACTAGTTTTATCTTCAGGTTCTTCTGGTTAATGAGTCCAGTCTGAACAACACCTGAGAAATGATGCGAATGTACACAATCCCAACAGCGTGTGGATTAGATGATAGCTGACGGGCGTTTCACCGATCACCTTTTGAAACTAGAGAGACAAAAATCAATTCTAAATAACTTTTTTAAGTTTTGGGGTTTTTTGCTGGTGGACCAGCATCAAAATACAACATCTGCTGGTTTTCTCAGCAGGGAATCTTGTTTCTGTTGTGTTTTGATTGTGACTCAAGGTATTGTTGTCTGGGATCACACACTGTGACGTAAACAGCTTTAAGATTTACGTCAGAAACACCCCCTCGGTGTTAAAGTGAAGAAGCGCCTGTTAGAGGGACAGCTCATGGGCAGCTGATGTCTATAGCAAGGGCGTAGGACCGAGTTTATTAGAAGAAGAAGAAGAAAATATCATTTCTATAGCGCCTCTCAAGATAAAAATCACGAGGCGATTCACAAACACAAAAAATGTAAAAATATAAAAAAGCATTTAGAAAATGTTTAAAAATATATTTAAAATGAGCAAAAATAGACAATTGTGAGTAGAAAATGTAAAGAAAGAGAGAAAGTGAACAGGAAAGAGGGAAATCAGTGGATCCTGAGGAAGGTGGAATAGGTGGGGAGAGCAGAATAAAGAGAGAGAGGTGAAGAAGGTCATACAAAAGCCAGCTTGAACAAGTGAGTCTTCAGCTGCTTTTTAAAGGAGACCACTGAGTCCACTGATCTCAGGCTCAGGGGGAGAGAGGTCCAGAGTCTGGGGGCCACAGCAGCAGATGATCTGTCACCTTTGACCTTTAGCCTGGTGCTGCACAACCAGTAGGCTTTGATCACTGGACCTCAGGGACCTGCTGGGGGTGTAGGGACTAAGAAGATCACCAATGTAAGATGGTGCTTGTTCATGTAAGGCCCTATAGACCAGAACCAGGATCTTGAAATGAACCCTGAAGTTGACTGGCAGCCAGTGAAGCTGGAGGAGAAGCGGGGTGATGTGGGCGTGTTTGGAGGACTTGGTCAGAAGCCGAGCACAGGCGTTCTGAACCACCTGTAGACGGTTCAGGGAGGTTCTGCTCAGACACGTGAAAAGAGAGTTACAGTAGTCTAAGCGTGAGGAGATGAAGGTGTGGAGAACTGTCTCAAGTTCAGAGCGGGACAGAATGGGACTCAGCTTAGCAACGTTCCTGAGATGGAAGAAGGAAGAGCGAACTGACATGAGAATCCAGGGTGAGAGCTGGGTCAAAGGTCACGCCAAGATTCCTGACGTTTGGTGTGAGAAGCAAGCTGACCATTGAGAACCATTATTGGAGGGGACATATCCTGAGGTTACTGGTTTGATTTCCCCACCCCTTTTTCTTTTCCTTATATGGGCAGTCGTCTGTTTGTGAAGCCAGAACAGATTTACATTGTTCTGGTTGTAATCTGTCTCTCCTTGTGCAGATATAATTAACTCTGATCAACTGTTTACTTGTTGCTTTTGCTATTCTTCTACCCAACAAGCCCAAAAGCAGCAAATGCACGTTAACAGGGGAACCGCCAACATGGAGCCCTGAGGGACCCCACAAATAAAGACCAACAAGAAAACTCCTGTTGGCCAGGTCGGGCTTAAACCAGGTGAACCCTGAGTAACATGGTGTATACTCTAATGCTTCTTGGTATTTTATGTTATTCACAAAATAAATGTCTTTAAATATGTTATTTTTTATTTGTGAATAGAGGTTAAAGTGATCTCTTTAAATAAACACCCATGCCGTGTCTGAGTTGCAGCGTCGCTTCCTTGTGATGGAAGGAAAAGTTGTTCTAATATCAAAACACAAGAACATTAAATAGAGTTTCTGAAACCCGATCAGCTGTTTTAGTGCAGCTCACGCCC